ATGTCATATTTTATTACGATAAAATATTTTTGAAAATATATTGTAATCTTCAGGGACTAGAACCGAATCGTCAATCAATAACAATTTACAGACATTTATACTGATCAATCCAAGTGGTCTTACCTTCCACAATTATATTTGGCCACAAGTTACAACACAGCAGAGTGTGTCCTTTTTGTATACAACAATGTCAACATGTATAGGTACTTCCGGAATGTGATCATGCGTATTGCTCGTCCGAGTAGAACGACGCAGATTTCAGACGATGAACTACCTTAATAAACACAGACTATACAGTGATATACATAGGTAAAGCATAATTTCCAACTGAATAAAATATTTTTAATAAGTATACTAACTAATATAATAGTAGAGGAGTATAAAAAAATTGTGTGCATAATATTCTACTGCAGATACCTATAGCTTAAAGGAAATATTATTATGTTAAAGGATATAATCAAAAATCTCGAGGAATTGTTATAACCATTTTCAGATATCAATATTCTAGTTATAATAAATGAATGTACGCGATCGACCGTCAGAGTAGGCAATGGACAGCGTGCGTTTTGGTTCCATTTTTTTCGACATGCAAACTGCAAATGCATCCACGACCATCGGCTCTCGTTGTGATACATGTTGGAGTTTCGACTTTTTGAGACTGTCTCAGATTGTCTCCGTTAATTAATATCATTAGTGTACACGTCGCTACGACCGATGCCAGTTTGTAAGGTGCTAACAACAACGATGGTGACCAGAAAATCGTTTGATTCCTTATGTATGTTGTATTGTTGTTGTGAATATTATATGTTTGTGTTGCTGAAAAGTATGTATCAAGCGTAGGTACCGCAGAAGGTGTGGTTATACGTTATTAGGTATTAGTCGTAACTATATATTATACAAAATATATACTAACAACCACCAGAAAAACAATTACCAGCCAATAATACAGTATACACGTACACGGATAGGAACGATATATAAATATTATACAATATTATTTTATATTTTATAGATAATTATTATATTTGCTGAAAACGTGGTTGCTGGTATAGGAAAACGTGCGTGTCAAAAACGAGTGATCATTGTTTGGTTGCCCACCACAAATTACAAGGAAAGATATTCGAAAACAATAGGATCGAATATTTTATATTTTACATTATAATATTATAAGCAGATGAGCGGCTATAAGTGCCACTCAGCCACCTTGGTATGCAATGTGCGTAAATTAAATTTTATGCAAGCTTATACCTGCAGATCTGCCCAATTAACCAATGGCAACCAATAAACAAAAAAAATACTAATTCCTACTAAATATATTTATATTTCTCCTATAACCAAAAGCAACCATTTAAAAACAAAAATGTCCTTCGTAAATCTCAAAATCCCCGTTTGAGCACCTCCCCGAGTTGAACCTACCGGGTTGAACTGTAAATCTAAGCCATCCACACAAACACACACAAAAAATGTCACCAATTAGTGCGCCGGGAAATTATAATATTAATCTACCCTCAACATTTCAAATCGATAGCTATAATAGATTTGGCTCTGCGTTGATTATGAATTAGTCACTTAGGAAAGTCTCATTTATGTATATACCTACAAAAAATTATATTATATTTATTTATTTGTATGTGGTACTGATATGTTTAGGCATATTGACAATAGTTTTATCATGACCAGTATTTTTCTTACAAATCCGACGCTTAAGGATAATGAACTCTTCCGACACATAATGACCACGGAATTTTATTTTATATTATATATTTTATACATATTTTATAGTCATGAAAACGTTTATAGTATAATTCTGTCGATGTAACTATATCATCTATATTTTAAGTAAAAATATAATATTGCACCGCTGCTGATAGAATATAGATATAAAAAAATACGACGTCTGTAAAGATTTACATTTTACAATAATTTGTTATTAATAACTAATAATTAGGTACCTATTAAACCTATACTTAATTTTTAGATGTTTTGATATATAATAATATAAAATATCAATATTAGCTACACATCTCAACAATTGCGCTGAGCCGCTCAATATTTAAATACGCAAGACCAGTGGCGGATTAAGCAATTTTCCGCATATAAGAAGGACATTTTGCCAGCCTCTCATTTTCAAAAGTTATTATTTTTTTTTTTTAAATACATGAAGAAATATATTGTTGGTCAAATTATTCTTTATTATTTTTAATTGAATACTATATTACAATACAATTAAAAACATTCTTTGTAAGCAATAGAATTACGAAAATAAAATATGATTGACATAATACATACTACATAGTAGCTATAATTTAGTATAAATAAGCCATTTGTTGGTTTTCTGGAAGAAACATAGTTTCTAAAAACAAAAATTCGAGTAATTCGTGTTCACTTATTTCAGTGAGTTAATAACCTAATAGCTAATAATAAATATGAAATAATATAATATAGGAGTATAATATGTATAAATATATATTTAATGGCTGAAAATTTGATACCAATAAAATTGTTAAGCTCCAATCACCTACTTACATTGCATGTAGGGTGACCGGACGCTGTGTAGACAGCATGACATTGCGCGCGACTCCTCGAAGCTAATATTTACAATGATATTTGTTAATAATAATAATAATAATAATAATAATAATAATAATAATAATAATAATAATAATAATAATAATAATAATAAGTCGCAGACTATAGATTCTTCGTTACAAAGAAAGAACTTATGTGCATACTGTACAAACATTTGTATCGCGAATTGTTTTTTTCTTTTTGATTACCGGTTTCAGTCACGCTACAACCATGCGACGCAAAATGCACATGCTACAAGCGCTCATCAGAATTTTGTAAGTATAACCTGCACGAGTGCAGTGTACGTTCGAGAGGACGATAAATACTCACATTATATTATTATACCGTCTCTGCAATAGTTTTAAAACGAAAAAAAGTACGTAGTAAATCCGTTTCAGGGAGCTATATCGACTGGGATATCAACAAAAGCCGATGACAAACTAATCAATTTATCAGAAGATTCATTTTTAAAACTTCAATTTAGCCTAAAAAAGTGCTTCAGTTTTTCCGTCATCATTAAAGCCTAATAATTAAAAGTACATCTGTAAAAATATATTGATTATAAACCTATAAGATAATAAATACCTAATAAAAGTAATAAACAAATTTTGTTTTTATAACTACTTTTTGAAAAGCGAAATCATGTGGGTCGTGAAAGATTTTTCATGGGAAATTTGGGTAGCAGTACTAACAAGACTGAGAACCACTGTAGTAGACTGTTTTGAACTAAAAATGCACCAACTAGTTTTCGTTTTTATACTGTGCAATCGTATATATGAATTAATATCATTCTCATTTAGCAAATTAGCTCGAAACACATTAGGCTCAACTTCATTAACTTGAAACATTTTGAAGTCTGCAAGTTCACTAATAACAACTAGTAATTAGATAAGTCAGAATTAGTTAGGTTACTATCTACTATAACTATTATCAGTCACTATTGATTCGTTAAATGTTTAGTGACTGTTGATGCAACCCAGCATAAGTCATATAGAAGATTCTTAGATCCATAAAAAAATATTTTTTGTACAATATTTGATTATTTGAATAATAAAACTAATATTAACTAAAATAAAAAATATATCTAATAAAAAAAAATTTGAAAAAAATACCATCGAATAGCACTAATTGGGCACTAAAATTCGGTGCTATCGCGGATTTTGGTGCTGTTGGTGCACCTGATACGTGAAGTTAGAGTAGAGGGGTAAGCCCCCGAGTAACTTTTTACCGGGTATAGTACTAATTTTGAAAATGCTATGGTTGAATAGCACTAATTGAGCACTAAATAATGGTGTTATAGTGGAAATTAGTGCTCGAATTTTTCTACTAACTTCACGGACCTCTTGATAGTTTTATGCGTCACGGCTTATTGGATTTCTGTAGACTGAATTTTATAACTTATAGACAGACAATTATTGTAGATATTGCAATTTGCAGATGGTATGCTTAATGTAGTGTTGTTATCTTGAAAAACGCTTAACGAACCTATAATATGCAATTGTGTGACATGTACAAAGCAGTGGTGCGTAATTAGGAATTTCCTTAATGGGGGGATTATACATTTTTATAAAAAATTGTAAGCTTCATACAACCATACCATCTCCAATAAACCCTTAAACGGTTAAACTATATAATAAGGAACAGGTTTTTTTCTAAATGGAAGACATCACACTATTAATTGTCTTCTTTCTCAGACCCAAGTGCAGTGACATACGAGAAAACGCAATCACGTAAAACTATAAACATAATATTATACAGGGCTGGTCATCACGTCGTTCCGTTTTTTAAAAATTACATAATAATAATATGTAATATTACAATTTCTAATATGATGGCCAACACGGAAAACTCAGAAAACTCGATAGCCCCTCGGCACCCTGTATGCGGGTGAATCTCGCGATTGTTCTGCCAGGTCTAGATTTTAATATTATTACGACGAGGATAATATATAATATAGCACTATATAATATTATCATACAGTGTCATCGGAGCCGATTCTGCAGGTCCACCGACGTACGATACGAGCCGGCACAGCGTGACCCCCCCCTCCCATTTCAACAGCACAACCACCGCCCAACAGTCGTGTACCGGCGATATACCTCTACACGTTCGTGTCGGACGACAGCGAACGAGTTCGGTGTACGACCAACGTGCCCCGCCGACCGAGTGAACGCGACGACCGACGGATTCCCATTGTACAAACGCCGTACATTACAATACAACGCGTAATGCGTGCGCGCACCGTTCTGTCCATGCATTTTATTATTATATATTATATACGATATTATACAACGTTCGAACCGGTCGGTTCAAGGTCTCTCCTCCGCGCGGCGAGCCGCACCACCGGCGTTCGCGGCACCACCACCGCCACGGCCACTGACAGGGCTGGACAAACTGTGCGCGTGGCTCGTTCAGCTGCTGCAGTATACGTCCAACAGCGGTCGCCGGCGGTCACTGGGCCGATAGTCGCGCGTGCTGAAAACGTTTAATTAACATTATACTTAAATAGTCGTTTTACGTACCCGTACTATATTTGAACGGTGTTTTCGGCCGAAAACACTGACAATTCTACGGTTGCATGATATTATATTCTGTAAGAGATATTATAGAAGTGGAGTACGGCGCGCTGCGTTTTGTAATTTTCATCGATCTCTGCTGCTTTAGCGGTGAACTATTGTCATCGCTCGGTGCAGTGGTCACACTACTGTAGCCGCAGACATAGGATATTTCATCAGCGGGTATAGTGCATCGCGATTCTTTGGCCGAACGAGGTGTATACGAAAGTGTACGTCATCATCCCATACCTGCACTATCACTTTCCAGGTACATTATAATAATACTACTGCACGAGTTCGTTTATAACGTGACCCCCCCCCCCAAATAGACCTCCGTAACAGCACCTATCCGGCTATGTAAAAACCTAACAAAGGACAAGTTTCACAAAGGCTTAAAATAGATATGAATTATCAGATTATGAGATATAAGCTTACAATATTTTAATAATTCATACTATGGAAGCGAAAATCAGTACACAAGTCTACAAATTTTAATTTTATCATCTGGAACGAGTGCTGTGATATACACTTATTATTCTTAGACCATGCACGAATCGATTTTGATACATACCTATCTGGTACATGATTATACACTAAAAGCTTTACTATATTATTATATCATCAACAATAAAGTAACACCAAACGATGTGCAAAATTAGAGTTTATATTTTTCAATCAATAACATCTGTAGAATTAAGTGTTTAGTGTTGATGGAAAAAAATTTTTAAATCCTTGCTTGGGGTGCTCTGCTGCGTAGGATTTTTATATATTATGTTTTCAACACTCGTAACGAATGCTGTTTCCCTGTTATTTAACGAACGATGCGATATCTCGTTTTAAGAGGACATCACACCCTAATGTGTTATTGTGTTGTCACTTGCCTCAGTCTTACAAAGTATAACATGACAAACTTGCGTGGATCAAAACCAATTTTGTGTTGTTAGCAATATTATTGGAGCGAATTGGCCAAGCTTTAATGTACATATATTATCTATGTACAATTCTGAGAGGAGCAATGAAACTTCACGAATGAATTTTTTTTTTGTCTGTCATCACCTTTTGGAGCGGTATAATTGTAAAAATGCTTCGAATTTCTACTTCAGCATCTTACCTGGTAAGAAAGTGAATCTAGTTGATACTTGAGGAGGGGGGTCAAAAGTAAATTCCTTATAGTTTTCAAAAGCACCAATAAAGACAAACAAAAAATTAAGTAAATGAGATTTCTACGCAAAACTAGTTTTTGAAAAAAAATAATCGTCGATAGGTACATGAAATTCTCACTGAATGTTTGTACTAGAATGTTTACATAACTTTTTCAAAATATTTTTGACTCTTATTAAGCTATTTATAGACATAAGAAAATCTCGATTTTTTTTAGTTTTTTTAAAATTATTGTCGATACAAAAAATGTTCAACCGGTCAAAAACTTCAAATTTTAATACAAAATGAGGATAAGTTGTTGTTAGTGAAAATTGGAGGAAGTTGAAATCAGATTGTATGCAGTGTGTGAGTGATCAAATCACATTTGGATCATTTGGAAAAATCATATTTAAATAAGCAATATATTAAGACCAATTATTTACACAAGAAAATGAACTTTTGTATAAAGTTAAAATGTGTAATATTTATGTATAAATATGTAATCGTTGTTAAAAATAGTATTATTTAAATTATTTAAATCAATAAAACACAAATACCGAATTATATTTGTACAGTAAGCATAGTAATTTGACGTTACCGATTTTTCTTTTGAGAAAAAAGGTGGAGCAGTTTTGTTGTACAATGATAGAGAACTTTCAAATTTTGTTGGAATTTCTATTGTCTGTAGATCTTTTTGTTTATTTTTTTCCAAATAAAAGTAGGTAGCTACTATGTTGTATACTTGGTACAATTTTCTATTTCTAACCACTTAGATTATTAGTTCACATTTCCTTTCGCAAATATTAAGTAAGGAATTTATATTTAATTTTATTCGTTTATTTAACCTACTGTACTCATATCATTTTGGCGAAATCTGTTTCAACTGAAAAACTTTTTTTATTATAAGTACAGCAAAATAATTAAAATCGTTAGAGAAAATGTTGCCCCCCAACTTCGTCCGATCAATTCGAAAAATGTGATAATATTTTTCAATTTAATTGTAAATTGGTGTTAAGAATTTGCAAACAAGCTGTTAAAATATTTCAAACCAGAAACTATTTGTGGTTAGGGCCAACTTAAAGTTGGCAACTTTACCATTTTTGCTATAACTTTATCTACGAGTATAGGCTCAAGCTCAAGTACCTAATACATTTTGAAATTATTGATATCTACTAATATTTTGTTGATGGGATACGAGGGGAGGGGTGGATTATAAATTAATCTAACCTAATTCACCAATATTATGTCTTAGTGATCTACATATATTATGCGTAAATGCAATATACATTCTAAGTACAGAAGCTATAATGCAATTGTCGCTATTCTTGTGAATAAAATATTATATTTGATGGTTGTGCATCTTACCTTTACCAGGTTCTCAAAACTTATTTCTAAAACGAATCGGCTTGTTTCGTCAAGCCTGAGTTTACACGGTAATTCGTTTAGGACTCAGTTTCGCCAACATTTCGTGGCACTCCATAAATCTATTTACGTTGGTAGGTACTCACTGCTTAAAACGAATTCAACGTTTCGATAAAAAATCATTGCTAATTGATAACGAATGGGGGGGAAACGGATCAAGTGACCAACGTGACCAGCAAACTGGCTATTTGGAAAATAAGTTCGGAAAAAAATTATCTTCAATCAGTTAAATTTAATCTTAGTAGTTTTTAGGAAAAGTGGCCTTCGATGGTGGAGTTGCTGGTGACGATATTTCTGAAAAAAGTGGTTTTCAACATTGGCTGGTAGCTCCACGAAATATTAATTTAAATATGCCGTACATCGTTTGGAAGAAGTTTTAGAGCCCCTGTGTCAAAACGACTAACTAGTGAGGCTACCTTCGAGGGCCACTTCTCCTGAAAACTACTATAAAATCTTTATGTACCTAATATTGTAAACCATACCTATATAATGTGTCCCAAAACTCCAGGGTCACCCTTGTTATATCCAAAGAAAATCATGCATTTTTTTCTATAGTAATTCTTAAGTCAATTCTAATTGAATTTATATTTTATATACACTTTTTGAACACACGCCAGCCATAAGCGCACATTCAGTCTTCAATTTGGGAGTGCTAAAATTTTTAACCCCCAAAGTGACCCGTGGGGGGGGGGCTTCGTTCCCTCACCCCTTATACAGCAATGCAGTTATACACACCAGGCATAAATTAATTGCATTTGGAATAAAATTATAAATTACTATGTTAAAAAAAATCGAAGTAGTGAACCCGATTTTCAATAAAGCATTTTGTTTTGACTGATATATTATAACCAATGAATCCAACGACTATTACATTTTTCGATGAACAATGGATGCAGTCAGGGTCATCCACATTTTCACTACTTTCATCAATTTTGTTTTTTTATTATATTAAACATGTTTAAACAGTAACTATATGTCAGTGGCTTTAGTGCATTACCAATACAATTGGACTAAAGTCATTCTTTCAAACGCAAAGTTACAATTTTAACGATATTTTTAACTCAAAATAATTAGGGGGTGCTAATCAAAGACATTGGGTGCTAAGCACCCTCAGGCACCCCGTATGTGCGCCAATGACTCCAATGTGGATTATTCCCAATTAAACTTAAGTAATTGACATTTTACTTTATTTTGAAAATGATGAAGAATGAAGGTATTATATTACAATTGCATAAATATATTTTATGATTACCTAATGAAAAACAATGTATAGTGGACTTACATATCGTTATTAAATAATATAAAAATTATACAAAATAAATCTAGATTAAATATGAAATTAAAATAATATTTACGCAATATTTCGTGTAACGGTCTACAAACTATATTAAAATAAATATGATGTAAAAGTACAAAATATAATTATATTAAGTTTATTTTAAGCCCCGGAATACATTATGTTATAATAAATAATAAATAATATCAATAATTAGAGTATAATCATTAAATGTTAAGTGTTTGTTGGTAAAGGGCATTTTTTCATATGACAGGGTTTTTTTCTCCTAGGTTCGCGAAACTGTAAAGTGGAAACCCGCCTTCAAGGTGGATAGATATCAATTATACATCAATTCATCTTGTTCGCCTTAACGCGTGCCTCTCGACTCTCGAGAGTACGTCCTATACCGTAACCATGGTCCATGGGGTATATAGATCCTCAGTCAAAGAATTCACGGTCAGACGCAGACAGTTGCCTCCAAAACTATTATCGGCGTGACCTAATGTATCCGTGATATTGTCAGTCGGTTCACTAACCGTTGTGATGTAACCGTGTTATGAAATGGTCGTCTTGGTCTTCATAATACAATTTTCGACAGAATCGTTTTCATTTTCTCGTCTTCGAGTGCGTATTTGTAAAAGTGTATAGTGTTGTGCAGTGCGATCTCTCTAAAGATCAGAAATCTTTATAAAATATTACCTCACCATTCTCCATTCTCGAGTTCATATTAACGAATTATTATTATAATGTGAAATGTTTAATATTATAATATATTACTGAAGAACAGAGGCGAAATGGGGTTTGACAAATTCCAGCTCGACGAGTGATGACAAGCGTACCATCCGTTTCCATAGGATTACGCATTTATTTGAGTTATTCGTCTGCATGGTAGGATATGAATAAATTCACCTATATTATAAATTATTCACTGGTTCCTAGAATGAAGCTTAGTAATTTAGAACCTTTCATATGTATTGAATTAGGTAATTAATGCGAACTGCAACTGCAAGTTGCAACAGTAAATAGCTCATAAACAAATCATTATTATACATAGCCACATAGTTATAACAATAATAATAATTGTTTTTGTAATAATATGTAATATGTTAATTTTTCTGTTGGTTGTTAATATTGCTACAGGTATTATACACAAATGACTGCGAATGTGTGTTACTATTTACTACAACTACTCGTTAGAGCAGAGGTATTCAAATTTCAAACTGTGCGTCGCGGCTCCCAGGGGCGTCATGAGAGTTGTCGAAGCGAGCCGCGTAGTAAAATTGAAAACTAATAAATATTTTTACGAAAAACGTTTACTATTATCATTAATGTACACCGGTCGGGAAACGTTGAATTATCTACAACAATCATTCACTAAATATAGCTTTATTTTTTTTTATATAATATGTTATATGGAAATAAATAATAAA